ATTTTAACTCCCCCTGCTATATTTTATGTACATTTTAAGGCTTTTGGCATATTACCAAATCGCATTTATTAATAGGCTAGTTGCTTATACTTACTATTCTTGAAGCTGAGCTCCACTTTATTTTGTATCTGACACTAAATACAGTAAGTGCTATTATAGAAGGACTTTAATTGCATTATTAACTATTGTTACTGCTGTGTAAACCGGATGGCCCATTAAATTCTGTAAATACAACAACTTAGAGAAATAGGAGCTAGTACAGTGCTTCGCCCAAAGTAGAAATTTTGTCAGATCATCGTCCACTGGTGCAGCCTCTGAACAAGAAGGTAATAGTCATGTGCGGACTTTGTGTTAGATTGTTGGGATACTGGGTGGTGGTTCCTCCAGTCTTGATTTCTTTGTGGTATTTTTTCAGTAGCATTCATTACACTATGCCCTCCGATGAGCAGCTCAAAATTTTCCCCTAGCAGGTTAAGTTAAAACCTGTTCTTCTAGTTGAAAATAATCTTATTGAACTCCTTATGGAAAAACAAGTATGTATTACATTTGTGGTATTTACCATGCTCGAGCCAGCCGCCCCTTAAACCAAATAAACTCTTTATTTGAGTGAGATTTCATTTCTTAATCTACATATAAAGACAAAACTTTAGAGCTTAAGTATCAATTTAGTTATATTGGCCAGTTTTTCTCCACTGCTTCCTTCAGCATTTGGTGGAAATCCTGTCTGAAAGCTGTATTTTTTTTTTTTAAAGATTTTATTTATTATTTATTTGTCAGCGCGAGAGAGGGAGAGAGAGCGAGCACAGGCAGACAGAATGGCAGGCAGAGGCAGAGGGAGAAGCAGGCTCCCCGCCGAGCAAGGAGCCCGTTGTGGGACTCGATCCCAGGACGCTGGGATCATGACCTCGGCTGAAGGCAGCTGCTCAACCAACTGAGCCACCCAGCGTCCCTGAAAGCCGTATTTTTAAGCAGTTCATGCAGTTGTTTCCTGTGGGCGATAGAATTACTTTTCTTTGTATTCTAAATTTTCTCCAGTGAGTTTTTGCTATTTTCATAAAATATATATTAATTAAGAGTCCCCACAGTCCCTTCTCAATTTCAGTAATTTGCTAGAATGGCTCACAGAACTCAGGAAAACAGTTTACTTACATTATAAGTGTATCATAAAGGGTACAACTCAAGAACAGTCAGACAGAAGGGTTGCACAGGGCAGGGTATGTGGTGGAGGGGTGCAGTTTCCCTGTTTTCTCTGGATGTGCCACTTTCCCAGCACTCCTAAGTATTCACCAATTAGGAAGCTCTCTGAACCCCATTGTTTAGAGTTTTTAGGGAGATTCCATTCTGTAGACGTGAATGACTAAATCATTTGTCATTGGTGATTAACTCAGTCTCCGGCTCCTCTCCTCTCTGGAGGTTAGGGAGTAGAGCTGAAAGTTCCAGCTTTCTAACTATATGGTTCAACTCTGGCAAGCAGACCCCATCCTGAAGCTCTCAAGAGGCCCATCAAGGTCACCTCATTAGCATAGACTCAAGTTTATTATTAGTAACAACAAATGACATTTCTCTCCTGTCTCTCAGGAAATTCCAAGGGTTTTAGGATTTCTTTGCCAGGAACTGGAATGAAAACCAAATCTGTATTTCTTATTAGATCACAGTACCTATTGTGCCTGCCATGGTATCATATTGCGTGTATTTGAGATGATTTAATTGAATATGGAGCTCATGACTTTGTGTGGTAGCAGAATTTAGCTGCAATGTGTTAGCAGATTCAGTTGCCGCATGATTCTTTATATTGAGCTAACCTCCGCTTCATTGTGGTGTTCACCTATAGTTTTGCTGTCTAGAGCAGTACAGAGCAAGTCTGCTCGCTCTTCCAAAAGACTGCCTTTCAGATAAAGTGTTATATGGAAACCGGCTCTATCACTAACGTGATTCTGGAGTAAATCAACGTGAAAACAGGTAGCTGTGCTGGAGATAATGTAATTATTCTCTACAACCCCTAAATTATGGAGTGAAAACCTCCTGGTGCTACTGTGCCACATTCACTGTTGTTCTTTTTCTACTTTTCCAATGGAAATCTGTATCAATTTATAGAAATAATCCTTTGGGATCTAACAGCTCTTAGAGCCTCCCTCTTTACTCTTTCATCTTCCTGGTATCCAGCTAAGTTAATGGCTTTATTGTGAATATTCCATTTGTAAGCTATTTGTAATACATTTGCTTGTAACTAAAGACTTAAACTTTAAGCAAAATAGAATGCTGTACTTTCATGTAGAGTCCTTTTACATTTTTTTATTTCATGTCTTTCCAGCATTTACTCTCTTAAGACAAAGTTTCTAGACAGTAAGGGAACAGATTTTGTAACTCCGATGTGATTGTGCCCCTGATATTTGTAAGTGCCAAAAAGTTATCACAATAAAAACCACAGTGGTGGGGCGCCTGGGTGGCTCAGTGGGTTAAAGCCTCTGCCTTGGGCTCAGGTCATGATCCCAGGGTCCTGGGATCTAGCCCTGCATCGGGCTCTCTGCTCAGCAGGGAGCCTGCTTCCCACTCTCTCTCTCTCTGCCTGCCTCTCTGCCTACTTGTGATCTCTCTCTCTCTGTCAAATAAATAAATAAATAATCTCAAAAAAGCGGTGGGGGGAGAAAACTGACTTAAAACAAACAAACAAAAACACACACACACAGTGGCCAGAGCCTATCCACCTCTCTTTACTGACTTTAAAATAGCTGCTCCTTAGGGCTTCTGGCTGGCTCAGTCAGAAGAGCATGTAACTCTTCATCTCCGGATAGTGACTTTCAAGCCCCATGTTGGATGTAGACGTTACTTAAATAAAACTAAAACTTTAAAAAAAAGGTTTTTTTAAAAGCTGTTCCTTATAGTTGTTTGCATTCACTGCATGTATGTAGTCTGAGGGAATTTGAGTAGCATACCCGTTTTGAGACTTTATGAAGTGTCTTGTCATAAGGGACTGCAAATAATCACAGAAAGCCTTCAGTGACTCCATTCATCTCTGTTTCTGAATATTTCAGCAAGTCCAAGTCAGTTCAGATACCTAGTATCTCTGGTCATGAAAGGTCATGATCTCAGGGTCCTGGGATCGAGCCCCGCATCTGGCTCCCTGCTCAGTGGGGACTCTGCTTCTCCCTCTCCCTCTGCCTGCTGCTCCCCCTACTTGTTCTCTCTCTCTCTCTCTCTGTCAAATAAATAAAATCTTAAAAAAATAATAAAAATAAATAAATAAAAGCCAGGAAGAGGAGAATAAGCATATATGAAGTCGTAAGTGTAAGAAAGAAAACTAGGCAGTAGTCAGGCAAGACAAAGGAAGAAAGTGTTTTAAAAAGGAGAGAATGGTCATGGAAAATGAGCTCTATAATTATCCATGAGACTTAGCAGCATGGAGATGTATAGGCGACCTTTTGAAGAGCTGTTTCCAGGATGGAGGTGGGTACCCACCTGAAGGGTGAATGGGAGGTAGTGAAATGTAGTCATTTCTTAAGCTGTTAGCTTTGATAGCTGGGCAAGGAAAGGGTTTGAGGGAGGGATTTTTTTTCCCCCCAAGTGGGGAAAGTTGATATGTTTAAGTGATTTACAGGATGGCTGCAACGGGGAGCGGTGTTGAATACATAAGAGAGTGGGTAATGGATAAGATCTCTGCAAGAGAGATGTAATCTAAAGCCAAGTGGAGAAATTGTCTTAGTTACGAGGGAGGCACGTTTAATATAGTTGGAGAGAACAAAGAAAGGAATGGGTATGATACAGAGGAAAAAAATACTAATGCATTGTGTGATAACACAGTTTTGGTGACCTGGAGTCCTGTGTTTTCTGTTTCTGGGGAAGTGATGGGGGCTTGGTCAAGAGGCCACATTCCTCTCCAGCCTGGGCCAGCCGAGCAATTGCTTGGCTGTTGTTCCTTTTGGTCACTGACTCTCGGCCTCAGTAAGGCCACCCATCCCTTCCCTTGCTTGGGAGTGAGACCTGGGCCCATGTACCCCAATTTCGTGCATCAGCTTAGTTTCAACGTCTTGTCCGGATTTCTTCTTTATCTCCAGGCGGGGAGACTAAACTAAACAGTTACAGTCCTGATAAACTATTTTAGTAAACATGTAGATATCCTGTTTTTCTTTAGAAATCTAATCTTTAATTTTCATTTTTGACAACTGAGTTCTCTAATGTACCTCAACGATAAGTTTGTTTTATTTATCAGAAATTTGTTAAGCTCATACTGTGGGCCAAGCACTAGGCTAGGTACTTGTTATAATGGATTAAATAAGATATGGCTGCCTCGGGCGGCTGGGAGAGACCAACACACACAGCCCTGACATTTTACTTTTGATAAATGCATAGACTTTAGAATATCTAGATCTGAATCCAACTTCTTTTTGCAAAAAAGAAGGCCAAATTATTATCTCTTTGGGAATATCATGAAATTCATTTATATATTATACAACCCAGATAATCCCTTTTCCTTATACTCTGTTATTTTTTCATGCTGCTTCTATAATTAAAATGTGGAATTTTCCCGTCCTGAAGTAGAGTGTTTTTACTGTACATCAGGTGGTCTTAATATGGGTTTTGTAGATCTCAATGTATCTAGGGATTGGTGGTTTTGTGCGTTCATGAACCTTCCAAATTATATGCAAAATTGAATGTGTATACATGAGTTCTTAGAGTAGAAAGAATCCGTAATTTTTCTAAATGCTCAAAGAATTCTATCACACCAAAATGTTAAGAACCACTAGACTATTAAAATCCTTATGTAATACAGGTTTTGTCCTATGACTGTTTTATACCATTAACCATTTAGATTTTCTCACAAGAGGAAAGGGAAGTTGAAGATGTATTTCATAATTGCCTTCTTAGAATTATTTATACAATTTTTAATATTGATACAATTTTTGAAATTGGCATTTAAACATTAGAATTTCTTTTATATTATCTAACAATGTTATAACCACGCTACAGTTTTTTTTGCAAATATGTTTTTTGTTTGTCTTTAGTACCAGGGCCCTCTGGTGATAACGGCATCAGTATTACCATGATCTTGATGGCCTGGATGGTTATTGCAGTGATCTTGTTTCTACTGAGACCTCCTAATCTAAGAGGATCCAACCTAACGGGCAAGCCAACCAGTCCTCATAATGTAAGTGTTGTGGATTAGAAATTCATTTGGATAGGGGAGGGGTATGGCCTGGAAATGGGAGGAGTTTGTTTTGACTGAAATACCAGAATTAGCAAAAGGAAGATTTAACTCACGGAGTAAGTTCTTGCCGTGGAGTCCTTATAAATCTTGCAACACCAAATAGCTTAGTCTTCAAGGAGTTATGTAGCAAAGCACAGACCAGTAGCCCAAAGAGAATTTTAAAACACATTCCAATCTTCACTTGCATTCCAGTCTTTCTAAATATTAAAAAAAATCCAGTTTGTAATAAACCACAGCAATATTTCTCAAATCTCAGTCTTCCACTCCCCAGTTCCTCACAGTCCCTTCAGCTTCCTAAATTCTCTCATTAGCTACAGTTCAAATGTTTTTCCCTCTACTTCATTTTCTCCCCTTCTTTCTTAGCTATTAAATACAATAGAGGTCCTGAGCCTGTCTGGTGAAATCCCTTTTTCCTCTTGTTTTCCCATCCAATTTCTCTTAAACTCTTCTATTTCTGCATAATAGGTCAACTGAACTGACGAAGGAGAGGTAGGATCATTCATTTTAGCAAATCTTGATAGTCCTGATAACTACCATTTTTAGAACCTTCTAGATAAAAAATGATAAATAAAGTGACCCAACAGGGAGTTTTTGGTGCTGTCTTTAACAGAAACTTCATGGAAGGATTCCTTTTAATCGTTTGGAGAATGGGTATTTATGTTTTTTCTTTTCTATTTGTCTTGGATATTACTTCTTTAAAGATATTTACATGGTGAATTCACTTGTTGAACACCAAATTATCCCACTGATTCCCTTCTCCAGTCTTCACCATGTGGAATTCCTAAAATAACTTCTTTTTTTTCCCACAATTCTTGTATTGCTAATATTAGAAGTTGAGTTAAACTAACTCCTTACGTGAGAGAAAGCCAATGTGGAATGATAATTGGTCAGTGCTTTGGTTTGTTTAGGAAAGGAACATTTAGATACATAGCCATGTTGACTTTAAGAAAGAAGGTATCATTAGCTCTATATAAAAAGCCTTAAATTTTTTTTTCTTTGTTTCTTTTGGAGAAGAAGTTATCCATAGAATAGCTTATATGTTATCCTGGTAAGATGCTTTCTCCTTGGTATTTTTTCTTACTTTCTAGGTATAGTTTTATTACTTTCATATCAGAGAGCAACTTCCTCAACATTTGCAGCTAAAGAAATCCAACTTAAGCCAGCCTAGAAGCCATTGAAAGGGACAGAAATTTAAGATGACAGCCCCAAAACCTTATTTCATCATAGGTCAGCAGTTCTTGGCTAGTAGGCCCACTGCCCTAGGAGTAAGCAAGAAAACATACTAATTTCAAGTAGAAAATTGACCAGCCTCCACCAGCACCTCCTGTAACGTGTCAGAATAAATAAATGGCATCTCCCTGAAGATTCCTAAAAGCTCTGAACTTTCCCTTCCAGTTCACATACTTTCTCTTGCAAGTAACAGTGACCAGCTCTGCCTGGTTTAAACAAGTGGCTCTATTGGTTCACGCATCAGGCTATCCAGAGAGATAGGGTTAGTGTTTGGATTGTCTAACAACATCACCAGAGGGGGCGCCTGGGTGGCTCAGTGGGTTAAGCCTCTGCCTTCTGCTCAGGTCATGATCTCAGGGTCCTGGGATCCTGAGCCTCATATCAGTCTCTCTGCTCAGCAGGGAGCCTACTTCCCCTTCCCTCTCTGCCTGCCTCTCTGTCTACTTGTGATCTCTCTGTCAAATAAATAAATAAAATCTTAAAAAAAAAAACAAAACCAAAAACAGTATCATCAAAGACCTACTTTCTTTCTTCAGCCATCAGCTTCGCTCCAAAGTGGGCTCCCTTTGTGGTCACAGAATGCCTGCCAGTAGCAACAGGGGCCATATGCTTCCTTATTGACCTTCGGTAGGGAGAAGCAAGAGTCTCTACCTCACTTTGTAATGTGCTCGGTCACCTTGAGCCAGAGGGATGGTGCCATCTTTATTGGTGTAAATGTCACCTCTGGAGCTGTCAGGGAGAGCAGTGTCATCCAAATCATTTTACTGTTACATAGTTTCCCTTTCTTCCATACCACAGGGAGGAGTGAGACAAACGTTGGTGAATTATAGTGTTAATCTAGCGTTCCCTGGTGTAACAGCAACATGAGAAGTCCAAATAAGTATATGATTAGGGATTGGAGGGTGGGGGTCATGCCTTCAGTTCTTACTATGTGCTAGATCGGTTGCACTGGGATTCAAGAAGTCGGTTCCATAATTTCTGTCTTTCTAATGCCAGGGACAAGATCCACCAGCCCCTCCTGTGGACTAACTTTGTGATATGGGAAGTGAAAATAGTTAACACCTTGCACGACCAAATGAACGAAGATGACCAGAGTACTCTTAACCCCATTAGACTGTTTTTCCTTTTGCATCTGCAATATGGGATGGTATTGTTTTCATGAGCTTCTAGAAATTTCACTCGCAAGCTTATTTTTGCTTCCTGTGTTATCACCATTCCTTTTTACAGTATATTTGAGTAAATGATTATATTAAAAAATTTACATGGGCTTTTTTGGTTATCCTAAACTTAAACATTCCACTCATTCTGTTTGTAACTGTGATCATAATTTTTTTGTGATGATTTCTGGCCTGATTGAAGGAAATTTGAGATCCTGCCTTTAAATATTTTAAATAGTTTTGATAGGTTTTTAAAATTGCTTTTTTTTCATAAGGTATTTATAAAGTTACTTGGTGTTCTCTGAGATTGTATGAAAAAAATTAGAACCACACTGTATTTACATTTACCTTAATAGTTTATTTGTGGGTGGCAGTTTTTTCTAGTTCTTGGGACTGTGGCAGCCTTTGGAATATTTTACAGATCTATGTTATCCACTACAACTGGCTTATGTTGCTAGAAAAAAGAGGGGAGAAGAAATGAAATAGTTGTTTACTAAGTTTTCTATTCCCACAAAAATGTCTAATATTAGGAGAACTTTAAATAAGCATGATTTAAATATGGTGGGTGATTTACAGTCCATTATAGCCTTACGAGGTTCATGAAAGGAGGAAAAAGGTTAACGCTTTCTGCCTTTGCCAGGTATATTCTATACAGTAATAATTTAAGCTATAATTTATTTGTTAAATGGGTGCCTCTCAGGAACCTTTTCTGTTCTAACACTTCCCTGTTAAATGGAACTCTGAAAGCTGTATTGGGGCCTATTTGGTTGCTGACATTTGAATGCTGTTTACTTATTTAGCCTATTTTTTTCTGTGAAGAAAAAATTGAGTCTTTTGTTACCTTTCTGACTTCAGAAAATATTTGATGGTTTACTCCAAGGGAAAAAGAGGAAAATGAAAAAGCAATCAAGGATCTTTTTTCTCACCCCTTATCTCATTCTTTTTTAGTAATAAGATGGATTGGGGTGGGGAGGAACATTATTATAAGTAAAATTTTGAAATGTATAAAAAGTAAAAGGTTGCATTCTTTTGCTCAGTTTGAAAGAAAATGAATACAAATGGCATAAATACAAGTCTGGCATGACCTATGTGGTTATGGAATTTTTTTCTTAGCAAGTGATTACAGATGGTTTATGGGTGCTAGAAGATATTTTGCTATCGATGTAAGGATTTTCCCCCCAGATCAGTCTAGCTTTTCACTGTATCGATCTGAGAAATTACATGTATGAATTAATAAACTTCTCTATATCATTGTACTGTTTAATAGAGTCTCTGATAAAATTGTGTGATGCTCCTAGGGTATTTTTCCCCCTTTATTATGATTACATTTTAGGCCATAAACTTTTTAAGGGCTTCATTTCATTATATAATCCAATATTGACTGCTTGCATTCCTTCTGTGGATCTTAGCTTTGAGCTCAACTTCTTGACATAGTATCATCTATTCTTAATTACTTGTGCTAATTGAGGGGTATCATAACACAGGTAAGTCAAATCTTAGATAAGGGAGCACCATAAATTTAAATCTTCCTCTTGCTGTGGCCTACTGGAAGCGTTCTCAGCTTTACAGCTGTTAGAGTATTCAATGCGGAAAGGGCAGGGATGGCATAGGTTGGAGTTAAATCTCTATAAGCATTCCTTTTTCTGCCCTTGGCCCCTGGACTTTGAAGGCTTGCACATACATCCTAGCAGTCTGTTCTCTAAGCTGCTAGAAAGCCAACCTCTGGCAGAGATGCTGATGCATTCACTGAATCTGTGGCTCACAAGTAATTGAGAATTGGCTTTGGTTGAAGCCAGTTGGCCTTGATGAGGAAACAGTGTGTCTAGTGTTAGTTGGCTAGAGACCTACAAATCTAGATTCTTATTCCTGGTTCTTCATTTCTGTCACATACACTTAATTGACAGTACATCTAGTATATTAACCTTTTCTATATGGACCATCTAATTAGGAACAAAAGTTCCTAGAGAAATACTTAGTTTTGGGGTTTTTTTGCTTGTAAAATTTCTCTGCATTTCTGAGAAAGACCGCATACTACTGCTTATAAAGTATTCCTGTTAACCTAACTAGTAATTTATATTACTCAATTTAATTCTTAAAGCTTCTACATGTGGCCTTTTTATTGAGCACACTCTTACTCATTACTTGGCTTACATTCACCGGAACTGTGGCTACATTCATTTTTAAATCATCTGGAGAAAGAAAAGATAAAGCTTCATATTTTAATCACTTTGGGCTCTTAAATGTTCCACAAATAACATTAAGTTTATTTTGTTTTAGAGTCATGTAATGTCCCTTATGCAAAATAAAGTTTTCTTGCTTTCCATATGGAAAAAGTTAACATTGGAACTGTGTATAGTAAAAGAGTTTATCATGTATCTATCCAAGCACTATCCCGTGGCCAGCAAGTCATATTTTAAATAAACTTGCAGAGATTTTCTAAAGTAACTATTAGGTTCAGCTAGTCCATGGTTACTTTTAGTGTCACCGTGGTGTGTGATGTGATAGTGTTTATAGAATGACTGAATTCTTTTCAAAGGAACCTTGGAAATGTATCACTCTGAATTAAAGCCTGTCACTCTAAATAAACATGCTAAAATTTGACCAGTTTATCAGCTTAAGACACAAAACAGCAACTTGAGGAGAAACGAAGAGTTTACACATAAGGGGTTAAATTTTTGTTGTTGCAATGGTAGATTTAGTCTTAACATGATATTTCTAAATGAAGAGCATATGTATTTGTTACCATGTCTAATGATTACTTTGTTAAAAGCGAAAGTGGTCATGTGATGTACTAAGTATGAATTGCTGTTTTTCACTGTTTAAATCATGCCAAACAAATCATGTCTGTGCCATCCAGGGTTTATTGTAATCTTTTACTGAGTACTTGGACTGGGATAAAGGGCTTGTACTATGCACTTTTTATTAATGAATAAATAGAAAACATTAGTAACTGTTTTGTTTTTTTGGGGAAATGAATCTTTTGCTTAGTAGAACATTTACATCCTTTATTAAACGGTTTCTTTGTAAGACTTTTTACCCCTAACTGAAGACCTTCCACAGAGAGAACTTTAAGTTACAAGAAAAATACGTATGTAATAGCAGTGGGGCCAATATTCAGAAGTAGGGATTCTGAGAATCTCTAGGAGATTAGATCACAATTACATTTCTTTACTTACTCTTTTATTTTTTAATTTCTTCCTAGAATATAGTGTTAATAGACCTATGCTTTGAAGGAATAATATTCAATAATGTTAATTATGTATTTGAGCAGGCCTATGTTACTTAAAGGGAGCAAGATGTGTAACTGTACGAACACACACACAAGTGAAGATCTGTTTTTTGTCTTGTGACCTGGAATGCACCCAGATACCAAAGATCATTAATCCCCACATACACGTAAAAATGGTAAAATTGCCCTGGCATGGGTCAGTGTCTGTGTGATACTTAAGTGTTCTTTAAAATAGTAAAATGTGTGAGACATATAATTTTCTGGAGGTAATTAATGATTTCAATCTAAAATTTGTCATGAATGTCAATATATACCTGAACCTCTGTAAAACTAAGTTTTCATTAAATGGTTCTGCAATATTAGTTTTCCTCTCAGAAAGTAGAATTCTCATAAGTTTTTTTGCTTCCTGCCATTTCATCTGATAGTTGTCTCAGTTCCAAATCTGTTTTTAAGAGTCGATTTTTCTCACCACCAAGAAGTTCCATAAACACCAATTGAGATTATGATGCTCTCACATTTTTAAAAAACTGGAGTTATCAAAGTGATCTTTTCCCCTGGGCAACTTTGCATATCTTTTCTCATACAAATAGACTATGTCAGTTCAATAAACATTTCGACAGTGTATTTATTTCTGCTTTAAAATGGGTGTTATTCAGGGGTGCCTGGGTGGCTCAGTGTGTTAAGCCTCTACCTTCAGCTCAGGTCATGATCTCAGGGTCCTGGGATCGAGCCTCACATCGGACTCTCTGCTCGGGAGGGAGCCTGCTTCCCCTTCTCTCTCTGCCTGCCTCTCTGCCTGCTTGTGATCTCTCTCTCTGTCAAATAAATAAATTTTAAAAATCTTAAAAAAAAAAAAAAAAACCCAAATAAAATGTGTGTTATTCAGAATTATGTTACAGAAAACATTTTAAACCATCAGATGCCAGATTAAGACGTCTTGTGAAGGGGAGGTAGAAGATGTTTGGGAAGCAGGGAATAGATAGGGATGAAGAATAATATGTGTAGCTTTTTTTTTTTTTTAAGATTTTATTTATTTATTTGACAGAGAGAGAGAGAGATCACAAGTAGGCAGAGAGGCAGGCAGAGAGAGAAGGGGAAGCAGGCTCCCTGCCTAGCAGAGAGCCTCATGCGGGGCTCAATCCAGGGACCCTGAGATCTTGACCTGAACCAAAGGCAGAGGCTTAACCCACTGAGCCATCCAGGTGCACCTATGTGTAGTTTTAAGAATAAAGCAACTTTCATGTCAAGAAAGAATATTCCTGGGGTGCCTGGGGGGCTTAGTCGGTTGAGTATCCAGCTCTTGATTTCCATTCAAGTCATGATCTCGGGGATGTGGGACTGAGCTGTGCTTTGGGCTCTGTGCTGGTGGGGAGTCTACTTGGGATTCTCTCTCCCTCTCCCTCTGCCTTGCCCCCTCTAAAATAATAAATATTTTTAAAAACCATATTCCCTTTTATAACACTCTGCTTATTTCCAGGAAGTTTAGGAATGAGAAAAAAATATAACCCCTGCAATACTAGAGTCCTTCTTACTTCTTATATATTTAGTTCCCATACTGCTCATAACCTCAGACACTCAGGCTATGTTTTGATGATGAATGGATTTGAATTGCATTGCCTCTATTCATTTTGAAGAACTGAGCACAGTTTCTCAGAGAGGACAAGTACTACATAGAAGATTCAGCATTACGGAAAAAGTCTACTATTTTGCTGTTTTTGTTGTTGTTTTTTAATATTTGTTTATTTGAAGGGGGTGGAGCACAGAGAGAGAAGCAGATTCCCAGCTGAGCGGAGAGCTGATGCAGGGCTTGATCCCAGGACCCTGAGATCCATGACCTGTAGTCATGTAATTGTAATAATTATCTCATGTGCAGTAAAAATATTTAGCATTGCTAATAGTGTTGAGCCTTGGAGGAAAAGTGTTCAAGTAGCTTTGTGTGAGCTGGGCTTAAGGTAAGTAATTCATTCAGATCTTTAGCTTTTCTTACATCTAAAAGATAGCATATAATTTATAGCATATAGCTTATAGTGATTCTCAAAATTTCTGGTTTGGAGACCCCAAAGAATTTTTGTTTATATGCATTGTTTTATCTATCAATATATACTGTATCCAAAATTAAAACAGAACATTTGAAAGCATTAAGTATTTTAAAATAACAATATACCCAATACATGTTAACATGAAGGTTTTTGTGAAAAAACCATTTTCCAAAATGAAAACTTGGAAGACTGGCATGTTTTACATTTTTGCAAATCTCTTCAATAGTTGGCTTAAAAGAAGTCTGGGTTATTATTATTATTTTTTAAGATGTATTTATTTGAGAGAGAGTAGGGAGGGGCAGAGGGAGAGGGAGAGAGAAAATTTCCAGCAGAACTGTGGACTGAGCAGGGAGCCTCATGGCGGGCTTGATCTCATGACTCCAATATCATTACCAAGAGCCAGACACTTAACTGAACCACCAGGTGCCCCAGGTTATATTTCTACTTCTACATTCAATATGTTAGTTCCCTTCTTGTGAAACTGTGTGAATATTAGTTTTTGGCAACTAAATGACTAATGGTATTTTGAGCAGCCTGTACTAAGGAAAACAAATTATGTAACCATTGGACTGCCTACTTATTTCAGAGCATTAGTTTCCTCATTTACTTATCAAATATGGTACCACTTTACAGAATGCTGAAGTAAATATCAAATGAAGTGTTTGTAAAAATGTTAAGTCCTAAATAAATACTGTATATAAAGGCCCTCACCATCCCAACACACACACACACATACATACACACACACACTGTCCCTTTTCAAAACCTTAAGTTGTACAGATACTAGGTATTTAGGGGGGCACTTCCATTGAATTTCTGTTGGGAAGAATTCACTCTACTAAGAATGGACAATGGCACATTTAGGCCAGAGTCTGGCATAAGAAAAGCATTAAAGATTAAAACATTAGGGACCCCTGGGTGGTTCAGTCAGTTAAGCATCTGCTTTTGGCTCAGGTCGTGATCCCAGGGTCCTGGGATTGAGTCCTGCATTGGGCT